GTTTCGAATTTCGTGACTCAAACTCTTTCGTGTAGAATTTTCTACATGGTTCTTCCATAACTGTTTGTTCCGTGATTCGACGTCCATTCTCATTTTTCAGCGCCGCTGCTGTTTGCTGGTATAACAGCATTTCCCTTCCGTATTTCTTCAGGCTTTGTTTCTTTGAACCCCGTCATTCTTTGAGCCGCCGCCTTTCGACGGCTGTAGTCTCCGAGGTCCTCCGTTAGCTTCTTACGAACTGACTTGCAGAGAAGATTACACTCTACATTTCAGATTTTATCCCGCTTCATGGTTCTTCCATTCTCTAGCAGTTCTTATGTCATCTCTGAAACCCTCGGATCAAGTCGTCGAAGCTGAGCATGTTCGGTTGTTTTTGACCACTGAAGGAGCTTCCCGATGAAATTTTGGTAGTCTTCTTCAATGCTCGTTGTCATAGTCCGATCGGTAGTTCCGACTTGCCTCTGCATCTCTGGTTCTTCGAACTCCATGGGTCCTTTGCCCTGATACGACACATTCAATGCCCTTCGTTCGACAGCCGGAATTATGTGTATTCTTGCTCGCAACATGCAGCGATCGTTTCCTGTAATGAATGAGGGTTCATAGGACGTAGACATCCTCCGAAATCGCTGATATCGATCACAACGTAGTCAATTTCATTTTTCGCAATTGCATTTGACGTGATCCATGTCCATCTCCGTCCCACTTTCTTCCGGAACCAGGTTTCACCGACGAACAGTTTATTCGCCTCTCTCATCGCTGCCATTATTTTATCACCCCTGTTGTTTCGTCCTCGTATACCAAACCTGTCAATATGCCTCTTGGGCCTTCCCTCCTTGAACAAGTTTTGCGTTGAAGTCGCCCATCATTACCGTATAGGTAGACTTGAGGTGAGAGTTGATTTGAGTTCCGCATAGAATTCTTCAATCTCATTGTCATCGCTGGTCGTAGTGCGAGCATGGACTTAAACGATTTTGAGGGTCTTGTTTGAATCCAGTGGTAGAAGGAACGACTTGTGATGAATTAGAGCGGAAGGAAAGGATTAGTAGAAACCACTTTTTGTTCACCATAGACCCGATTCCATTCATGTTCCTCTGTCCTTCTCCTTTTCCTAAAAGAACCATGTTGCCAACCCTCCAGGTCACGTTGAGTTCTGACTTTGTCGTGTCTCGCAGACGCCAAGGATATCGTCAGATGTTCCATTAGTCTTTCGGAGGAGATGGTTGATGTGTTCATTCTTTGACAGCAACCTGCAAGTGTAGGTGCATATCCAGAGGTCAGGTTCCTTTCGTTTTCTTTTCGGTGGCCTGGTGCATCCTGAGATTCTTAGCAGCCCCTCGTTATTCGGTTGTCGG